TTTTTTTTTGTTTTGAGAGGTTTTTGCTATAGGGTGCGTGCTCCCGCCCAAGAGACAGAGAGAGACAGAGAGACAGAAAGTGAGAAATCACCCCCCAGGGGGATGGCCATGCCGCAATCCCTTCTCCATTGTCCTCTTGGGATCTTGGGCACTCACACACACGTGCCCAGCGTGAGTTTAAGCCACTGGGTCCGGGACTCGAACCACGGTTGACTATGTGGGAGTTCAGCAATATAGCCATTAGCTAACTACTGGTCCCAACATTTTAATATATATTAAATTCCAAAGTTGGAGTCAAAAGAAACTAAATGCTAAGGATCTAGTTCTTACCTCAGCGCTCAATGTTGGCTTAAAATACATTTAGTATTAAAAGCTGGCCACAGTAATGGGATCTGCTGCTATTGGTCTCTTTGTCCCTTAAAAGAGCTAGTACATAAACATTCTTACTTGAAGTCACTCGTAGTTTCAGTCTGCAAAACCTAGCTCCTTCACAGTGCTCCTCCCACGGAGTTGTGCTGCCCTCCTCACAGGTCAGTTAGGTGCTGGTCACAAAGAACTGCGTGGACACGCCATCTGGCACCCCTGGGGCCTGCACGGCGCAGCAGCAACACGCGACGCTGCGAGGGAGGCTCGGGCCCGGCTCAGGGACGGCCAAGTCCAGCGGTGTCCGCGTGTGAGGTGCACGCGCTCTGTCTCCCTTCTTCTCACTCATGGAAGAAATAAACTTTTTAAAAGTTAGCATATCTTGGGCCAGCCAGGTGCGTGGTGGTTGAGGTGGCTAGATCCCACAAGGCCAACTACGTGGTTCGAGTCGCACACCCAGCAACTTGAAAACATGCCAGGCGCCTGGGCATGAGCGACCGAAATCCTGAGAGGAGGCCGGAGGAGAGGGGATTGCAGTAACTCCCCCCCCACCGGGGGTACTTTCTCACTTTCCTTCTCCACCCACACCCTTGTGGACGTGCCCCAGAGCAAAAAGCAATAAAAGTTAGCATCTGTCCAAGCCCTATTTCCCTAGCCTGATCCCACACCATGTCGGGACCGCCCTGGAGCCCCGAGGGTGCCCTGGTATGCTGTCCTTTGTTGAAGATGGTGGACATTATCACTCACACAGGCTTGCTCTGGAAACCCTGAGCGTGATTGAATGTAAACGAGACGTTATAAGATCGAACAAGCTAATGGGACAGAATCCTCACCTAGATGTGAGGGAGTAGAACCCCTGCCGGGGCTTTCGCGATGGATGCCTTGTCTTGGTTTCACTGGAATTCCTCCATGACACCGTTTCTCTGGCAGTTTGGTTGACCTACAAATCTTCCTCACCAGGTTCTGACCCTGTGGTGGAACGGTCGTTGCAGGCCTTTTCCTGCAGGTTCTCCCTGGAAAGAAGCCATTGGAGACTGTTAGGGTGAGCCCAGGCCTGCCTGTTCCAGGCTAGAGGACAGAGAACTCAGGAGAACACTGGCTGTGTGCGCCCGGTTACCTGGAGTGGGGGGCTATGGCAGCTACAGGGCGGGAAGGGCCAGATGACCCTGCGAATGCCATCCGTGTTGTCGGCAATGACAGCTAGCGCCACCTTTCTGCATTCACATTCTGCAAGGCTCGGGCACAGGTGGAGTCCCCGAGCAGCTGGCAGCAGCTTGGTGGCATTGGGTGTGTCCCTTTCCTGTGGATGTAGCCACAACCCCGGGCCCAGCGGAGTAAGCAGCCTTCGA